ACATTTATATAGTATAACAGGTTTTAGATCACATTCACATATTTATTCATTTGATAAACATTTATGGACACATACTGTGAGTCAGGAACAGTGGTTGGCACTTGAAATATCATATTGATTGTGATATGCATAATCTCTTACCTGACTACACCTACAGCATTGAAAGTTGTTTTATTAACATTTCCAAAAAAATCTTAAACCTGCAATTTATGATTTGTGCCACCATATGGAGACTGAGTCAATCCTAGGGCTTTAAAGCCAAGATACTCCTTTTGTCTAAGAGTCAGATAAACAGGATATTTTTTTTTTCTAATGATACCACCCTCCCCAATTTATTAAGTAATTTTCCTGTTTTCTTTATTAAACATACATGCCACAAGTCACCTGAAATAGAAACTGGGAAGACCTCTTGGATTTCTCTCTATCCATTATGCTTCCATTCAATTAGTCACTAAGTTTTGTGATTTCTCTCTCAGCAATATCTCTCCCTTCCATTCCTTTCCATTCCCAATGCCAACACCTTGGGTTTGTTCATTATGTGTTTTTTGTACCACTACAACAATTGCCTCTTAATCGTCCTGATTTCTGGCACTTCCTCTTCCAGTCTATGTAGATTATTTTTTATAATGTTTCATTCTATTCATTAGAAATATTCATTACTACCCCCTCTGGCTACCAGATAAATTCCAAACTCCTTAGACTGACCTTTAACTCCTTCTTTGATTCACTTTTATTTTATTTTATTTTTTTTGAGACGGAGTTTCACTCTATTGCCCAGGCTGGAGTGCAGTGGCACGATCTTGGCTCACCACAACCTCCACCTCCCAGGCTCAAGCAATTCTTGTGCCTCAGCCTCCTGAGTAGTTGGGATTACAGGCGTGCACCACCATGCCCGGCTAATTTTTGTATTTTTTGTAGGGACGGGATTTCACTATGTTGGCCAGGCTAATCTCGAACTCCTGACCTTGTGATCCACCCACCTCAGCCTCCCAAAGTGCTGGGATTACAGGCATGAGCCACTGTGCCCAGCCAGTGATTTCCCTTTTTATCCTTTCCTCCAGTGTTCTTTGACATGTTGCCTGTGTACCAATAAATGGGTATTACTTTCTACTACTCTTAAACTTCTTATACCTTCCCACTTGAGTGGTAATGCTCAAGTCATTCTTTTACCGTAGAATATGTTGCTGCACACCTTATCTCCACCCACCCAAATCCTAACCACACTTTAAAAATGAAGTCTAATTCACGTCCATGAAGACCTCCCTCATTTCTTTTTTTTTTTTTAGCCAGGAATGGATTCCCACTCTTCTGAACTCATTGCACATTGTGCCTCTCTTCGGGTAGTTAAAACATGCTTCCTTGTAGTACAAGTTGTTTGCAACTTAGTCGTAGGTTGTAACTTCAGTTGGCTGAAGGTTTCAAATAATTCCATTTACTACCTTTGGATTTGCTCGAATACCCTATCTGAAAACCAGTCCTGTCAAATAGTTCTGGATATTTTGCAGTGCTGCATAAAGTTGCCAATATATATATTTTTAATTTTTAATTAAAAAGGTACCTGCTTTTTATTGACAGTGTCAAAGTGTAATATTTTGCCTAAAGTCACAGATGAGCACCCTCCCCCTCCAAACTGAGTATGAATTAAGATGAAATGTAAATTGTTCATTAAGTCATGGAAGTTTATGGCATGGAAGTTTACATTTCAGTGTATAGGAAGCTATACTCAGGCCCCACATCATTCCACTGGAATTAGAACTTCGTCTTTGGATCAGATATGGTATCTGCTTATATTAGTTTTGTCCTTATTTGTTGTGGTGGTTAGCTCCTGTCTTGTATTAACTCACAAACCTTGAGTATTTTCTTAGTTTTAGTGCAGTGCCTCTCTCCATGGAGAGTCACCTCCCAAGGTAATCTGTTTACTGCAACATTTTTATGATTTTATATTGCATCAAGCAATTCCAAATTTACAGGGTGTTGATGTGAAAGGCTTCCTCTGGTCTTGTAAGAAACCTATCCCTATTTAGAAGTATGTTTTTGGCTTATGAAAGGCATTCAAATCAGAAAGGGACAAAAACAAACCCTCTGTGTGGAATGATTTTCTCAGTCTCAAAGCACTGATAGTAATAGTAGAAACAGTAGTGATAAAAAATAGAATAATTAAAAAGTCAAGAAAAAAAGAGACAAAACCTGGTCTCTTAGATCTAAACGATTAAATCTATAAATTGCATGTATTCCTTAACAACCTTACCAAATTTATTTTCTAAAAGACTGCACTAGGAATGAATTCAAATAATGAAACCAAGGGTCTTTTGCATATTGAAAACTTCCAAAGGACTTTAACCTTTCAATGACCAATGGCCAATTTGAGTCTCCAGTATTCCTGTTAGAAATAGAACCGTAATCTCTAGTAATAATTAAAATATCACTGTAAACCTAATGTGTCTCATTAAACACATAACTTTTAATTTGTGCCTTTTCTAAAGTTGTCAAAGTATGTCTGTCCTTCAGTTTCACAATTAATGATTACAGCATGAATGAATAATCTGCCTTTCCTTTTTATATTTCAGATTTCTTAAATTTGAAACATCAAAATATCTGTGTAATGTTTCATTGCTGAAAACCCCAAATCCCTCTGCACTTTGATAATGTGAGTGCAGCTACTACATACAAGGGTTAGCTTGGCCTTAGGATTTTTAAAGTAATTAGAGCCATTTCAAAATAAAACATCCTTTACAGCCAAACTTATTCACCTGGAAATTTCAAACACAGTAAGTAATCAGGGGCAAGTTATTTCAACAGAGAGTTTAATAGCCATTTCTGTCAAAACATCTGTTGAATACAATTTGGAATTTTCTTTTTAAAAACTGGTAAATACAAACATTTCTGTTAGTGCTGTTTTATTCTTTTTTGACACTTCAATTTGTTGAAGTGTTTTCTGCCTCTGCCATCTCTTTCCAATTGTCCTTTTTTGCCCCTTATTACTTTCTTCCCACAATCGTACCTATATAGCAAAAACATTTCAGTGCCTTTTAAAAATGTCTTGTGGCTGCCTATATCCCAATCTATTATGTTAGAGTCACATCACTGTATTTTGAAAGCAATGATCATCACAACTTCTTAGCATTTTAACCCCGTACAATTTGAAATTGAAACAGTTGGAAGAGATTCAAAGGACAGTTCTTAAACATGGTTGATGAAATGAGAAAAGAAGAAAATATGTTGTAGAAACAGGCAGAAAAATCCAGTTTAGGATATTTGTGACTAATTAAGGGAGCAAAAAGAACCCACACATTTCTCTTTGATCCTGCTAAGTACAACTATGTATAAATAAAAATCAGTAAGTTTCCCACATCATTTATATTTTAGAAGAATTATCAGAGATGTTACCATAGCTATGTAGTTGGTAACGTGCTGTAAAGATATGAAGCCTGGATTTCACTTCCTGAATAACTAAGCTTCTAGAGAAGAGGAGCACAAAAAACAAAACAACCCCCCGCCAAAAAAAAAAAAAAAGAAAGAACAACCACCTTGGTTTTAGAGAATGAATAGCTTGGCAAAGGGTCTTAAAACAACTTTGCTAGATCCGGTGCGGTGGCTCACACCTGTAATCCCGGCACTTTGGGAGGCTGAGGCGGGCGGACAACAAGGTCACCAGTTCCAGACCATCCTGGCCAATGAGGTGAAATCCTGTCTCTACTAAAAATAAATAACAATAATTATAAAAATTTAGCTGGCCGCGGTGGCGAGCGCCTGTTGTCCCAGTTACCCGGGAAGCTGAGGCAGGAGAATTGCTTGAACCTGGGAGGCGGAGGTTGCGGTAAGCCGAGATCGTATCACTGCACTCCAGCCTGGGCGATAGAGCGAGACTCCGTCTCAAAAAACAAACAAAACCACTTTGCTAAGGCGATCTAAACACTATACACTGTGTGGAAAAGAGCATTTCTTTTCCTTGGCTTGGAATGCACCCTACGTAGACATTTTGTTCTATAAGCTCTAGTACGTTTGAGGCACTTGATGAGTGGGGGAAGTGGAATTTTGCTTATGAACAGAGCTCTAATCACTGGACCTTCAAAGCCCATGGAGGAGGAAGGAACATGCACGTTCAAGAGTGCAAACCCTCGCCCTTTCCTCATATTCCGTAAGAACTGTTTTGAGTCCTAAATAAACACTTCCTATGAATTTTAGCGGGGAGTAGGGCCAGGGCAATCCTGAGACTAAGGGACGGGGACACGGACAAGTCTGTTCTAGGACAGTGGCGGAAGTGCCATAAAATGAAGCGTCCATCTGCCACCCACAAAGCAAGTCTCTCTGTTTACCAAAGTGTTCAGAGGCTCACCACGCTTCCTGAATGTCAGTGCGAGTTAGCAACCAGAACTTTCTGATCTGAGTGTGATCTCGGACGCTTGTTCCTCTGCGCGCTGGGTAGCGGAAAATTTACACCAAGCGCCCTAGTTGGGCCGAAGGGCTGAGCTGTTTACTTCTAAACTGGCTAGCGTCTTTCTCCTGGAAGCTGGGCGAAGCCACCCATTAGCCCCTTGCACAGTTTGGGAACGACGCGCAAGTGGAATTGGAGCTGCCACCTCAGTTTCCACGATCGAACCCGTGTGTAGGGTGGCGGAAGGGACATGGGGAGGCACGTTCTGGAGTAGAGCTTTGCGTTCCCACCCCGACACCAGCGGAGCGCGGAGCGAATGGGTTCACAGCGTAGGTCACTTTGAGAACTCTGCGTGACAATTGGGAGTTCTCTTGTCTGGCTGAGAGGCAAGAAGCCGAGGCACCACACCGCCCCCTTCCCGGGCTGGATTACTGTTCACCGTCGAGCCTGAACCCACTCAGGTAGTCGGACGCCAGCCAGGGAGTCTCCACCTCCTCGTCAGCAGCAGCCATTCGGAGCGCTCGGGTGCAGGAGGGGTGGGGCCCATTGGCTGTGGGGCGCTGCCAGTCTCGGAAGGGGGTGTGGTGGGGGTGGGGTCTGGGGCCGCAGAGGGTCGGGGCTGCTCACTGTTTGCTGGGTGGTGGGTGAGCTTGAGCCTGAGCCGGCTGCTGAAGACGCGAACAGTTCCGAGCCAGCGAGAGCGCGCCAGAGAGAGCGCGCCAGAGTGAGGGAGTGAGTGCGAGGGGATCTAGAGAAGTCAGGGTGAGAGAGTGAGGACCGGAGGACCCACGATTGAGACAGAGTGACCATGGCTGTCTCCGCATCTCCGGTGATCTCCGTAACTTCCAGCGGTGCTGGCGTCCCGGGGGGCTTATTCCGGGCCGAACCCCTGTACTCGACTCCCGGAGAGCCCCCTCGTCTCACTCCTAATATGATCAATAGTTTCATGGTTAACCACGGCGGCAGTGCCGGAGGTGGCGGGGTCAGTAGTGGCAGCGGCGGCAGCGGCAACACCAACACTAACGAGTGCCGCATGGTCGACATGCACGGGATGAAGGTGGCTTCGTTCCTGATGGACGGCCAGGAACTGATCTGCCTGCCGCAAGTCTTTGATCTTTTTCTCAAGCACCTGGTGGGAGGGTTACACACCGTGTACACCAAACTGAAGAGACTGGATATATCCCCCGTGGTGTGTACTGTCGAGCAGGTCCGGATCCTCCGCGGGCTTGGGGCCATCCAGCCCGGGGTAAACCGCTGCAAACTCATCACCAGGAAAGACTTCGAAACTTTGTTCACCGATTGCACCAATGCCAGGTGAGACACTCGTTTCCTGGCTTTCCCGCTTCTCTTACCCCTTTGGGCTCTTTTGCATGCCTCACCACGCTCATCCAACTTTGTTTGTAGAGACTGAGTCTTAACTAGTTTGCCTCTATTCTTCACGGTGTAAATCGATGGGGTAAGAGGACTAGAAGGATTCATTAATGCCGGTGCCTTCTAGTCCGCGCTCAGTGCTAGGGTTTGGGTTTAAAAAAGTCCCGCACAAACTTGAGTTTGCAGTCCTCTGTTGAAACTTTCCAGCCTTTTGCCCATATCTTGCATGGCTTTTGGCTGCTTGTGGTTATTTGTTAATTTCTCTATTTGGTTTTCTTTCCTGCTCTTTTGTGGCCGCACGGGTCGGATAGGTTTTCTTCTGAACACGGAAACCAAGGGCTTTCTCTGGGGGCTGGCTGAGCTGTAAACTGGGCTCCTAAGCTGGCAAGCCAGAACACAGCATTTGGGACATGGAGGGGGTGGGAAGTCTAGAATCCATCCCAGTGGGTGATTCGATCCCCATCCCGTGTGTTTGTTGTGAGAGTGTGTGGGGTGTGGTGTTGACGTTTGTGGTGGTGTTGGTGTGTGTATGTGTGTGTGTCTGTGTGTGTGTGTGTGTGCAAGTGCGTGTGAGAACGTATGCTTACGCTTGCTGCGCAAAGCTCCCCAGTGCACGATACAGGAAAGTCGACACTGTTTTTCAAAAAGGACCACGACAAATATCACTTTCCTGGGATCGTTTGTTTTGGGTTATCTGCAGAGGGCAATGTGGGGCATGATTCACTGTGGCTGGGACTGGATTGAAGGTTGGTGTATAAGTAGAGAGATTTTCTAGAGAGGATGCTCTCAGCTCTTCCAGGAGAACAGTTGGAAGGTTCTCATTCCCTTAAAGACAGGATTCCTTAAATGATGATGGCCAGCTTCCCTGGTTGTAAGTGTACCTTCTTCATATCGCACTTTAGAAGTACACTGGAGAATAAATGTCCATTTGCATATGAGAAGCAAATAGTGTTCAATGGTTTCTGAGTTTGAAAAGAACTTATACTTAAGATTATCTGACTTTTTAAGCACCTGTAACTTAGTCTTCTAGTGTTTGTTCCATCTGCAGTTTGGTAACATCTCAGGAAAGCAAAGATCTGGCACATGAAATTAGCATACAAACCAAAAAAATCACCGTCACGTGGTTCAAAGGAGCAAAGAGTTTTGTTGTAAAACAGCCCTACTGCTTATCATTTTGCAAAAAAATAAAAAAGAACTTTTGCTGAGGCACGCTTTCTCAAAATGAACTTTGAATCATAAAATCTCTGAGTCTATGAACTAAAACTGTAACAGTTTGCTACATCTTTGTAAAATTGAAATTGCCATGTACAGTGGAATGATACTGACAACTTGTAGGCAAACTGTTGCTTACTGCTACCATAAGATAATGCTACAGAACTTACAAGGGAATCTTTTTCCTTCTTTTTTTTTTTTTTTTCTTACATTGAGGAGTGTTTTCTGTGTTTGAGCAATTAAACAGAAAACTATTTATGTGAGAACTTCTACCTGATTCATATTTAGGGCTTACAAAGCTGGTTTATTATATCAGCTTTTCTTAAGGAAGATAGATGGCCTTAAAACACAAAGAATAACGGCTCCTTCAATAAAACAGGCAATTATGGATTGTAAGAGTAAAAAGACAATTTTATTTTGATTACGAAGCATTTTATTAGTACACAAACTAAAAGGGTTACAAGGGACTTCAGATAGTGGCCATCTAATTCATTTGTTGCCGTTCAAAAACACTCAAACATTTAAATTGTAGACAGGAAAACCTATTCTCTTATTAACTCTCTCTTGATCAGTGTCTCTGCTATCCATCCCTGTTCTTTCTCTGTACCCCGTCTTTCCTCTCTTATAAATGCCCATCCTTAAAGTGGAACAATTATTACACTTAGGAAATTCTTCCTCAATTAATTTGCACATTCTTGAGAAAAATCTATGACTATGCTTTTCAAAGAAATAGATTAGTATTTTAATGTGATTTTGAATGGTTTTCTGTATAAATGGAAACTTTTCCTTAATATTTATGAGAGTTACTTACTAAAGGGAAAAATCCAGAGGCCAGTGATCTTATACTATTTTTGGACCCTGTTATACCATGTATTTTTAGGTTATTATTTTTATCTAATTAACTTTTATTTACTTCTTATCATAGCAATGCTAAGTTTTTTGTGTTGAATTGCTTTTGTGTATGTGTGTGCATAAAGGTGATAGAGAAATATTAAATATGTAGGAAGAAATATATCTGTGATGTGATCCATGTGCCTTCTATTGCGTTTTCTTTTCTTTATGGGTACTTGGTTTATTATAGTCATATTTTAAAACTGTGTTACAAGTATTGCAATTTATAATTGTAAAAATTTATGAAGTATATTTATGAATGCAATCCATCAGTGAAGATGAAGAAAACTACTAAAAAATTGCAATTTTAGATGGAAGAAAATCACAATTTCTGGGAAAAATCTAATTAATGATAAAATGATATCAACACATTTTACTGATTCGAAGTTCCCACCTAACCACATTGTTAAAATTACAAAATATAATAATGCATTTGATAAATGCTTTATGACTTTAGGTAAGATTATTTACAGAAATGTATACTTGAAGTTATTCCAAAAATTGGAATTTTTAAAGGAAATTGTGAAATTTTTAGATCAACAGCATTTCTGTGACTTTTCTATTCAGTGAAAAGAAGGTAAAGGATGTAAATAGGAAGGAAAGCCAAGAGTGACAAAGTGAGGTGGATGAGATGGAGGCCAGTAAGGGAGTAGAAATGCAGGAAAAGAGCAGAATGATGCCTTGAAACGGAGTGAAAGATGGAACAGAAGAGCTTATAGAGATGCCCCAAGATGAGTGATGTAGCAATGGAGATCTGGCTAAAGAGGATTGTCCTTCAGGACTCATGACTTCTTAGTGCTTCCAGCTAAGAGCAGGGAGGGACGTGCAAGGAAAAAGTATATGTTTAGTGAGTGGAAACTCTTACACACTTCTTATTTCAAAGAAGAGATTCATCTTCATCTCTTGATGGATGAATGTTTATAATAGATTGTTGAATGGAAGTCCTATTTGTAATGGTGTCATTGGCAATTTTCTTTTCCTGTATGATAAACATTTCTTCCCCTCTCTGTCAAGTATGTGGGGAAGAGTACAAGTCCTGACTTAGAGCGATTGGAATGCTTTCTATGCTATCCCAGAACACGCAAAATGGATTGTTTTCAAATTGGTCATTTTCAAGGACCTTTAGTTATTGCCACTAAGTGACATTTTGATTTGGTTCAGTGTCCATTATGTGCATTAATGAAAAATGAATGAGCAAAATATATACATAATTGTTTCTTTGATAGTACTGAAAATCATAGCAAGAACTATCAGTGCTTTATATTAACTATTTTGTTGTTAGCCAATTATCGAAAGAGTCAGTTGTCTTCCTAGAAAAGAAGTTGAGGAATAATATCTGCTTCAACTACTAGGGAGGTAGTAAGACTGAAACTCTTGACCATTCATTGTTCTGTTCGACAAGTCAAGGTTTACATTACTGTAATTTCAAAGAGCTGTACAACATTTTTCCTTCATGCCTGTTAATATCCAAAATTAATTATATTATTTTGAGGATTATTTTTAGAATGATGATAAAAATACTCAACACCAAATAGGAAAAATTATTATACTGCTCTGGATTTTGTTTTTTGAGGTAAAGCACTGTGATTTCTGTTTAATTTTTTGTACAACAAAACGTAGAGTTTTTAATACAAGAGAAAACAGGCAGGTTTAAAAAGCAAATGTTGAAAATTTTCACTCTTATGCAGTAAGTTTTTCTTACTAAATTCTCCTAAGTTTAATGCAGCAGTAAAACATTAAATTAAAAATTGGTTTCCCTAAATATGAAAATCACTCAACAATCAATACATTTTAGTGTTTCTCTTTTTACCTACCTATCAATATAAAAGTAACATTGTCAGATTTCATGACCAGCATTTAATTTTGTTCGATGGCCACTGATTAAATGTTATTTAGTCATTTAGAGTCAAATGGGTGCTTGAAGAAACAAGAAGTTATATGATTAAGAAAACATTTTAATAATGCATTTGGAGACACAGTTCAACATATATTCAAACAAATAGAATTCAGTTTTTAAAGTTAAAACTTTCAATTATAGTTTCCTGTTATTTTGATAGTATATAAACAGAACATAAATACGCTTTGATATTAAAATGGTTTTTAATATCAAAGCACATTTTACATTTTAAAACTATTTTCAAATACTGGATATATGGCTATCGTGAGCACTCAATTAATTTGGCTTTGTATTCACACTTGAGGAATACTTTATAATTCATGATCCATACAGAGTAACATAATTTAGTTTGAAAATTAATGTTTTACATTTACAGTTAGGCAACATGAAATTTTTGAAGAACTTGAATCACTTCTCTGAGGTAATGTTTTGTATGGCTTACGTTTTCAGTAATGATAAAACATTTTAGAAATGAATCTGTGTAGTAAATGCACATTTTATTTCATAGGATGATGAAAGGATAGTCATATTGTCTGTTAAAAGCAGCCGAATGGTCAACAATAATCTGTCCTTTATGAGAAGAATGATGTCAAGATTTTAATCAAAGCAATTATATGTCAATGCATAGACCTTCCATGTTGACATTCATTTTAAATATATGCTTCTGAATAACCAACAGTTTTGTATTTAACTACTTTAGCTGGTATTCGTATGTGCCTCACTCATTTATTAGGTGATGGATACTACATTAAAGAAATGATCCATGACATGATGCAGTATATCTTTAGATTTTTATGTATCATATTATCCTCAATGTATAGCACATCAATGTAAATAAATAATTAGGACATGATGGTCTTCAGACGTTAATGTTTCATATGGTTTTACACAGGAAATAACTAATACCTATAGAAGATATCAAGTCTGAATTATTTGATGCTTT